TGGAAATTTGCATTTCAAAAAGGCAGGGGAATTTGATGGAGTACCTCAAAGTTTGATGCAAAAACATATGATCGCACCGGCTCACCTGGTGCGTTCCAGCCTGGGTTATACGTTTGTGCATTTTATGCAAATGTGAAAATGCATAATGTCAAGATCATTTCTATGTGTGTGTGTGTGTGTGTGTTCAGAAGCGAGTGAACTTTGTCACACACTTTTCAAATCAGCAACGGGGAGAGCCATGATGCAAAACCATCGTCCCGTCGGCGCCTTTTTTCCCTCATATGCAAGAAAAGACCAAAACCAAACCAAACTAAACTTAAAATGTAAAGCGACAATCATTCATACTTCTATCGATCTGACTGCGTCAAATTTTGCGCAAAAATGCTTGATCGCAGGAGCAAGCCTTGTAGCAACGCACCTGGGTTTTATTAAAAGGTGGCTCGCGAGCGTATTTAAATCATGGCCGCATCTCCGCAAAGGTTGCCCACGCCTGTTTTAGACAATAAGAAAAAGAAATATGTACAGTCTTGCACAGCAAACAGCAGCCGCGACGTTCAAAACTGGGATAACGTAGATGATAAATCGAAGCTCCTTGTGAGGAAGAAACGAATATAACAAAACATAGCCCAGAACAGGTACTGTAAGCGTGGATAATTTGCGATCTGGAAAAAAAGTAACCCTATTTTTTATAAGTATTGCCCATTTCCTTTTTTGAAATCTTAACTGATTTCAAACCCGCAAATTCCAAAGAGTCTCCAAAACTATAAGTCATCATTCGAAAAAATTTTGAAAGACCAGTTATTGTTTGTAACTGCAGACCAAATCTGGATACGAAACACTGATCACGAATGAACTCACCTAACCAAAATCATTCATATTTCCAAATCAGGTTTCACCGGTTTACACTACAATTCCTCATAAATAGTAGACTATTTCCGAGCAGAAATGTGGCCTGATAAAAGTAAATCAAACACAATTAATCGCACAGAATAACGCGCTTCATCCTTTTTATGTATTTTTTTTTGCTGTGTAACAGCACTACAAAACGCATACTGTCACGGGGTTGTCTGTGTGTTTGTCCGCAACAACTTGTCCGCGACTTTCAACTCCGGAATCACAAAAGCTAGGAAGTTGAAAATTTAGGAGAATGTTCTCGGATATCACGCTCTCGGATATCACTTATGGCACTGTGAAAGTTCCGGCGAGAAAGTTATTATCTCGGAAACCACGAAAGTTGGGGATCTGAAATGGCGATGTCTGCCATCAGCGTAGGAACTCCGCAGATTTGGATTCAGCCTTTATGAACTCCTGGGTACCACGTATGGCCCCAGGAAGTTTTGGTAAGGAAATTATTATCTCGTGAACTGCAACAGCTAGAAAGCTGAAGTTTTAGCGTGGCATCCCGTGCCCACATAAATTCTCGCAAACCCTCAACGTCCCTATGGAAATTCTGGCGGGAAAAATCACTACCTCGGGAGTTGAAAGAATTGGGGGGCTGAAAACTTCAGGAGAATGTTTCCTGCCTAAGTAGGGGCTTCATAAACTCGGATTCAGTTCCTAAGAATGCCGAGGTCTCTCGTACAACCACGTGAGAGTTTTGTCTCGAAGACCATTCAAAAGCCAGAAAATTAGGAGATTAAAATTTTAGGAGGATATTCGCCCTTCGAAATTTCAAATTCAGCTTTTACGTACCGCGCGTGAAATTTTTAACTATTTTTCAACACTTCAACTATTTGCGCACAGACTAAAATGCAAAGAGCGAAAATCATCAATTGGCAATCGTTTGGTTGACAGAATTGCACAAAATGCAAGATCGCGCCGGCTGTTCTGGTGCGCGCTGCTACTTATTTTGAAATGCACTGAACAAACTACCAAATAGATGGCCGAAAGGAACAAGAAGGATCGAAGCCATAAGTGCTCGAGGGATCGCCGAATAAAAATACCAAAAATAAGGCGAGACCTACAATTCGTATATTTAAAAAAAATGAGCAAATTCACAAGCAAACACTTAAAAAGGAAAAGCTTTTTTAATGCATATTTTTACTGTCCTTGATTTCCAGCCAAAATTTTGTCAATCCAAAAACATGCAGTACTGCTTTGAGTTTACTAATTTTTTTTTTTTATTCTGCTAATTTTACACGAATTCTCTCTTAACTTGCGGGAACGCCGTGGTTGGAAGCAGCAGTACTGCCGTGCAAAAGAGAGAGAGTTAGACTTCACCAGTGGAACAACCAATTTCTCTATGATTTGTTCTTAACTTCCATGGTAAATTGGCACTCGCACATGCTAGGAGTCAAACCCGTCATCAGCTTACTTGCAAGCAACCTTTGGGAGGAGAAAACTGTCAATAGCCTAGCCGGCTGGTAGTTGCTCTCGGCCCCAGCTACAAATATTCAGGCTGCTTTTGTGTTCCGCCATTACTCATAAACAGACAATATGAAGATTCTGACTTTTTAAAAACTTTTTTAATTCTTTTACATTTTTTTATTAATATTATTGAAACATTTCATTTTATTTTGTAATCTTGTAATAATTTTCAATGCCACTGTTATCAAACTCAGAATAAAAAACTTACGCCATATTCATGGCTTTTATTCATTACCACATTGAACCACCACACTTCTCCTTCAGGCCACACCCAGCGCCGCCAGAAAAAGGAGTCAATTGGTATTGAGATAGCTGAATATGCAGTTTGATTATCAGTTCACAGTGATGCAATAAAACGGACGTAAGAATTTAACAGCTAGTTCTAACAATTTTGCCCAAAACGTCATCATTCTAACCTATGCACAGCGTTTAAATGAGTGGCGACAATATTTCGAAATTTTAGTTTCTTAGCTATTACATAACTCTGTAAATAATCGAAATTTCAACTGTTCAACGAAAAAACGCAAAAAGCTGCAAATTCTTTGCTACTACATAACTCTACGAAGTATAAAGAAGTGAATGTCAAAATTTTCAGCTTTTCAGTTCTTATATAACTCTGGAAATGATCAAAGAAAACATTTCAACAATTTCAATTTCCTCACTTCTAAATCAAAATATTTGAGCAGAAACAGGTAACAAGACAGACATGATTAAACTATAATGGGCTTCAGTTTAAGTCAAAATGCATGAAAAAATAAAGAGTTTTGCTTTCAAAAAAGTAACGTCAATGAACATGAACATACCTAAAGCTAAAACAGCTGCGAACAAGCAATGAGGAATAACACCACGGCGGCCAAGTAGAGGCAAATAGCCAGACAAAAGCGGGAACGCAAAAATGCAGGCAAAAAGCAAGATAAGCTCACATCGGAAAAGCAGTGTAAAAACTGTTGCAATCTGAGCGGCGCGTAACCATCGCCCGTCAAAAAGCATATTGTACGTCCAAAGCACTAAAATTTTTAAAGAAATAAGAATTACGTTTTACAAGCTAAAATCGCAAATAAGCATATATCCATCTGGAAGGGCAGAGAGAGAGCGGGAAACAGAAGAGAAGTATCTTTTTCACCAGATGGCGCTTAAACAGCATGTGTCAGAAGATGATCTGTAGAAGACTGAAGAAATAACGCAGAAGTGAGCCAAGACAACATAAATTTTCAGCTAGAGGGTCGCAAAAAGCGATCTAAATCCGCCATTCGAAAAAAAGAAAAAAACAGTGAGAAACAGAAGCTTGCCAAAAAAAGTAAAATCCAGCTAAAATGTAACAAGAAACGACCTGATGGCTTTTATGATGTAAAAGAAATAATAAAATCTAAAAAAATGTTATATTCGAGAACATGAAGCGCAAAATTGAGTGTAGTCAGCAGCAGTTCGTCAAGAACATTGACACTGTCTATTTTCAGTTCCTTGCGAAGCTTTTGGAAAAAAAAACCATAGCAATTAAAAGGTTTAACTGCGCAGAAAAAACCGGGCATACACTTTAAAAAATGATCAGTAAAAGACTTTAAGTAGGCTGCAGCACAACAAACGGCCAGTTGCAGTCATGATCTGGTAAAAAAGGCATAATAAAAGCACGAAAGAAGCTGCGTTAATCATCTGACGAAAATGACAGATAATAAATTGGCGAAACAAAAAGATAAATGATACGCACGATGTGTTAAAAGAACATTAGGGGGCCGTCAGCACGCTGGGCTGATCCCCTAACTCGAAAGTATGGCCTAGCCTGGATAAGAGAAGCACAACAGCACAGCCGATGGAATACTTCTCAGTAGCATCATTGGATCACCAAATTATGTGTTACAAGCCGTTTCACGCGACTGGAAATATAATGGGAATTGAGTGATTTATGGATGAGGAACGATTGTTGTTTTTTACCAGACCAACACCTCCGGCACTTTAACTTATGCTCTGCTGGACCAAGCACATGAAAATAAGCTAAATGATAGCATTACGGTAGCATCAATCACTCGCTAGCTGCACTGTTGATGAAGCCCTCCTGCACAGATGCTTTGAAAAATGCTGTAAATGGAAATGCCTTCCTAGAATGCTTGAATACTAGTGCAACATCGTTCCAAGCTCGCATGAGCTTGTTCACCCTCCAAACGTTCCAGAGAGCAAATATTAAAACTTGAGTGAGTGAGTTCTTTTTCAAAGATTAAGTAAACGGCGAAAAGAATAGCCACATTATTTTTGAAATCCAAACGAGATGTCTAAATCCAAAGAAGAGTATCGACTTACCTCCAACTAGAGCAAATATATTAGGAAGAGGTCTGGAACTATAGAACATGAAATGGAACTGCGTCATAACAATCAACCTGAAACTGATTAGTGTTTGTTGTTAGTTCAAAAAAAAAAAAAATCACTTCATGTGGCATTATCCATGAGCCCGACTTCGAAAGCTCCCGATCAAAAAATCAAAAAAAAAAACTCTATTTTCTACACGTGGTATCGTCCGTGCTAAACCCAAAAGCAAGCAATAGTTTCATAAAAAAAAAGTTACCTGAGGAATTCTCCTGCTAACCCTCCGAAAACGAGTTCAATCCGTCTAGCAAAGTTGAAAAATGCATTCAAGACCGCAGCGCTAAGTAAGAAACGTCCTGGAAACACTGCATTTATTATTTTTGCATTGGAAGTTATAATTGAAAAGAAAACATAATATACACCGCCAGCACTCAGTATGGAAGAAAACATGCTGAACACGGTACGTCACAGTTGTACACAGTCATATTCAGGAGTTCGAAAGGAGTGGGAGAAAGGGATGACAAAGGAGAAAGGAAGAAAGCTGAACTCCTCGTCTGCTTTTAACGAGCATTAGAATTGTCCATGCACCGTGCAGAAGACGTGACAATGAGTCAAGCCATTTTTTGCAGAGCTCAGCCAGAAGCAGTATTTTAACACAGGCGTGCATATTTTAGCTCATAAAATCGGCTAAGTGCTAAAGCATAGCAAAAGTGAAGGAATTAATCTGAAAAGGCTGAAGAAATTAATGTTCAGTTAAACAAGGCACAGAAACAGGGAAGGACATCACTCAGAACAAAGAGAGAGCACTGAAACCACCTCACTCCTCCCCACCAGCTGTAAGTTGGACACGCCACCACTGCAGTTAAAAGTAGCATTCAGGATCAAGACCCAGGCAAATTAAGAATGGGCCTGGAGCAAAAACTCAATAAAAAGCACTCAATGAAATCCTGACTAAAAAACAAACCAGCAATAAGAAGTACATATTTGCGAATATTCATCCAACGTAAAAGAGGAGCGAAAATAAAAAGTGGTAGGCTAATAGCCAAAGGACCGATGAAAGTACGCGGTACAACTCCTGGAAACTGATGATGATCGTACTGAAATGAAGCGACATTACTGGGGTAACTGAGCATTTACTAAGTCTCATTTAGACTGGTGCGCGCTGCTACTTTTGAGAATAATTGATTGGTCGTTGCTGAACCATCATCAGATATACTGAGTGGTTAACTGCTGGCAAAGTGCAAACACCTTTTTTAATCGCTATATACAATCCATCGACAGTATGCGCTTTCGCATTGCATATATGCAAAAAGCGCATGAAATGTCTGGCATAAAGTTGTACTTTTTACACTGACAAAATGGACACGATGATTCCCCAATTGAATTATCAATACAGATATGAACACTACCCACACAAGTCCAGATACTAAATAGAGGAGCTCTCACAAGCCCTATGATCTTGAGCTGCGTGTGTCCAGTCGGTAGCTATCAGTGGTCCGATGCATGAGGTCAACTTTTCGACGACCACCCAAGCTGTCGTTTATTTTCTCGCAGACGTCATTTATTCTGATGGGACGGCCGTCGGTTGTCAGTATATCGAGCAGCACACCCTAACCGTCGCGATCGTAATTTTATCCCATACACTGCTAATCTAACGGAATGTTTGACTGCTGCTATTTGATCAGGAAGTGACCCTATAAGCTCACCATTTCATCCTAAAAATAACACTGCTTGATCCCAAATATCTTACCTCTGTGAAGTTGAAGCGATGAAATAAAATATCGTGCACTGCTTGTGTATTGAAACTTTCTTCAACTTTGGTAAATGGTGTCAAAACAATGTGCATTATGTTGACAAGCAACACTGAATATTCCGTGCCTCGATTCCGCATTTCAGTTGGCAGACCCCTTCCAAAATTTTATCGAACGAAAATACTAAAAAGTGGCATTTTTTACTATTAATAACTAGGAAAAAAAGGGTTTTCCGCAGGAAAAGTAACAGCTTTCATTATACTTCAAAAAAAAAAAGGTATTTTCGTTTATTGCTCGCTGACGTTTCAAGTTTTACTTGCTGGACAATTCTAAAAGTTTATCGCGATAAATTAATACTCTTTTCTTATCGACTAAACTTGAATACTGATTTTTCTGAGCAAAAGGGCCGAGGAAGTATGGATTTTATGCGGAATGTTACTGCTGGATATGTCGATAATCGAACGCGAAGAAATTCAAAAATAACAACATTAAATATAGTCATCTACATATATCGCGTACACGGTACATGTGTCAAGACAAACATATGTAGCGTACAGCAAACACATCGAATAGGAGCTGTGGATATTTACTGGAGGTATGCAGCCCAGAAACGAAGGGCCTGGAATAGCTGTGCTCTATCATGTGAAAGCATATCAGCAGTAGCACTTACATAAGATGCCCCCGCACATCCGACAATCTTGGGTGAACAATACTTCAGCGAGGCATCAGACTCGCAAAAGCAAAAATCACCTATCGTCTCCCACAAGTCGATCTCAGAACACCGCATGTATAACAACGAATGCATCTTACGAGTAATTATTAGACATGCGATTCGTGCCTTCAAGATCAGAGCGGTCAGACCAGTACAAACGCAAATGACCATCACCAATGAAAAAGGCAGAGGATGTTGGCCCACGAATTAAACACAAGGATTTGTTAAATGAAAAGTTTTGGGAGAAAGCTGTATCCCGGCATTTTTATTAACGAAACATTGTATTTCTGAAATAGAATCAAACAAGCAACAACAAAGAGAGAATTCAAGCTTGAAAAAGAATTAGCTGAGCAGTAAGCTCGCTGCAATTTAAGGACACTAACCAGTAGGTGTAACATTTACTCTCAGTGAGCCCAAAAATGGAGCAATAACAAAACAGCAATGAATAAATCGCTGCAGCACGAAGATTGAGGTCGAAAATTAACCGCAGATCATAGACGTGTTTCTTTTCCCCCTTGGTTTTTGCGGATCATCATGAAAAGACAGCACTTTCGCTAAACGTATATGACAGAGCAGGTATAGATTTGGAGGATGGTGTGGGTCGAAACAAGAGTGACCCAGGCAAATGCATGACACTGACAGCGGAACTAATAACTGCTATTTGTGTTTCACTAAACAAAATCATCCAATCTTGAGAAAGGCATCTAAGCGTAAAAAGCAATTTTAAGTTAAATCAAAAAACCGCTTAAAAGAAGTTACTTCTTCAACGAGTTGGAAAAAAGTGGCTTTTTTTTACTGATGCATAAAGCAGTAAAAAAAGCAAGGGGGATCACAAACGTTACCCCCCTATGCATCCGCTTCGTAAGAATCATGCGTTTTGTGGAACTGGTGAAAGCAAAACCAACGTTACTGCCCGCCCTTCGAGAACGACCCGTGGAACACAGCGGCATGAACAGTGATCCAGAATGTGGATCGATGCAGTGTACTTTCGGGCAGTGTTGTGCATGGCGAGAGCAGCGTAAACTGGCATGGTGTGGGACTGCCGGGTCCAACTCGACGGTACACCGAATCACGAAAGAAGCGACAGGGTCATGCGACTTCGGTCAGCACCTAACGAAGAAGTCAAAGACACCCTAGAGCTCCCTAACCCACTGGGACTATTTTGGTTACATTCGTCGTTCTAATAAAACTCGAACTCTGCGTGTGTAGCAAAAGACACAACAGCAACCTGCCCAGCGAAAGCTTGTGCAATTTTGTCCGGAGCCCTGCCTTGTGCAACTTTGTTCACAAGAATCTCGCTGCTGCAATCGGAACACATACACACACAAAAGGTCTCAACAATTTGCGTTTTGTGCAACTTTGCAACACAAAACGCATAAAAATCAAATTTCATCAGTCTTCTGACTGGCTCAGGAAAACCACAGTGTTACAAGGCATCGAAGTGTTTTTCCATGTCCGCGACTGCTGCATAACCTCATTTCAAGAAGCAGGCTGTGAGATTTCTCAAGAAGCTGCCAGACTTTTAATAACCGCTTGTAAATTTGAGATTTCCTTCATCATTCCGTCAACTACAGCTTTTGCCTGCAACAAACAACCAGCATGGCATATCGCAGTTAAACCATTCTCAAAATATTTTCGACTATTATTAGTAGTTTTGACAATTTTCATTGCTCCGTCTTATTCACAAGTCAATGACCGCCGCCATCAGTGTCTAAAAATATAGTCAAAACATACAATAACAGATACCGGTTAGCAGTTGTAGTGTATTGATAAGTTGCGCTGCTCGCTCACTGGAGAGCGAGGGTCCGGGCTCACAGTGAGCCAGTTAGTTCCTCAGCTACGACTCGCTCGTTCGTTTCGAACACAAAACGGTACTGATATATGCTAGGGAGCGAGAATGTCAGCAATTTCCTTCTAAGCCAACCTCGAAAGAACGAGTCATCAACAGCCTATCCAGCGAGTGGTTGCTACTGGCACTTGCTACCATTCAGACTACCTCCGTATCTTATAAAGTGGATATGGAGGGACTTTTTTTCAATAAACACGTGAAAACCGATTTGACGCAATAAGCTGAGCGAATGAATCATAAAGGCAATATTTTTTGAAATACCTGTGTGATTCTACGCTCATGCTTATCCAGCAGATCTTTCCTCTCACAGTTTTTCGCCAACATTTCATGTTTTTTGATCCGGCACAGGAACTGATCTTTCCGGCTTTGTGCACTTTGCAGCTGGTTATTCAGTTTTTCCTTTATTTGAGCCTCATAATCGCCCTGAGAAGTAACAAAAAATTTTTATCCAGAACTGATGAAAATGGATTTCATTACGGTGGAATACAAGTGTTAATTTCTGCTCCTCTAAAAGTTACGTGTATTATAGTAATACTAATCCCTAAATTGGTCGTTGGCCAGAACTGCTGAAGCCGGGCTAAAATAGAGGCATCCGCTTTTCCTATCTTTCAAAATTTACCACCAAATGTTACTAATGATACCGGATGTTCTGGTTAAAGAAAAACAACTAAAAGTTCCAAGACAACGGTTCTCTCGAGTAAATAAGTTCGACATTAACAGCTTTAAACTCGAAATTTCATCTAAATCAAGCAAATCTAGCTTCAAACCCGTGAATATAAAACATCCACAGGAAAGTGCTGAAATCTTCCCAAATAAGACTGCCTTATGCAAATTACCCTGCTTATCAAAATCGCAAAAACAACTCGTTTTGGATATTCGATGTTACAAGGATGCTCCCGCATGTCGAACGCAGCTCTGCCAGACCTTTCAGTTCCTGAGCTGTGCAGTTCCAGTTAGTACCCACAGTCTGTTCGATGTGGGTGAACCACTTTTTCGGAAAAAGTGGCTCACCCACATCGAACACACGAATGGGTACTTACTGGAGATAGTTACATTCTCACTCACACGGACACACGGCATCAAACATCCGTCAGCAAACGCTACCTCAAGTGCGACAAAAATTTTCGTCGAATATCCATGCACAGGAAACGGCACAAATCTGCCACATGAACTGATTTTTGGTACAGTGGATAAGAGAGTAACATTGCACAAATCCTGAATTACATGCTGAAACCTCTTCAAATCGAAAGCATCCGGCTGGCAAGCAACTGAAAATACAGCGACAGTTTTTGAAGTTTAGTTGCAAAGAAAAAAGTAACAAATTCCTTACTTCTGAAGTATTTAAAATTACCAGACCGTTTTAGACGAGGTGTACCTGTGTGGAAACGATGCTAGCAATGCTACTGAGTTCAACCAACATACCCAGTACAGTTACTTGAATGCTTCTACACTCTGATTAGCCAACATTTCATTAATGTCAACAACGGCTGCCAACCATTCCACGGTTGCTATGACCTATGCCATATCATCTACTGCATAACCTATTGGCAAAACTGGTGTTCATTCTACCGATTTCTTTTTTTTTTAGAGTCAAACAACTGAATGTAATATACAGAGTACAGGCACGTGGGGATAATAGATTAGCACTACACACATATTAACTTTAAAAAATAGTTAAATTCTATGCTGGTTAACAATTTCAGCAGCACAGAGTATCCATAACTAATGATCCAGAAATTGTTAATTAAATTAAAAATTATCCAACAGCAAAATTATCCAACAGAAAACCTTGTAAAGTATCCCTTCTGGAAAGCTGAAAAAGGACGCGTAGGGATCTAACTGTTTTGATAATTTCAAGCACAGAATGCATTTCTTTCTCTAGTTCGTTGTCGATTGTAAAAGCATCCATCGTCTTCTGAAAAAGTAGGATTTTGATGATACGATTAGTAATCGATCCATATAAAAGCCGGAATAAAACCAGCTACCAAACCAATTACAAAAGCTACATGTAGAGATGTTAGAAGAGTACGGAAAAGCTAAATACCTCTGTTAAACACAAATCGTACAGATTTCTTTCTTTTTTCCGCTTAATTCGATCGAAAAGGTATTCGCTAACAAATGGCATGAAAATTGATAGCCGGACCAAGGATTTTTCAAGAACTTCATGCAAAATACCCGCTACCACGTTTAGCCGCTCGCGATCTTTTGCCCAAAGCGCCTTCTTCGTTGTTTCCTGATAAATGATAATGTTTTTCATTTGAATAATGATACTGACGGAACTTAAGAGAATTAAAACCATGACCTATCCTTTCCGGCTTAATTTTTTATGACTCATCTTGATGCTTTCAAAATATCAACATCGAATTTTTGAGACGAAAAGTGAACTGAATGAAAATACCGAAGGAACCTACCAGATAAACATCGCACAAATCGTTCCACAGAAATTTATACATGGCAGCAAAAGCTAAGTGGGGTCGATCCGATCCCATTTTCTCCATCAACACCAAAAAAGTACTTTTCAGACGACTTTTTATCCAACGATCCTGGAAATCATGCAAATGAAAAAGGAACGAAACAGGAGAAACAAACTGACTAACTTCAATACGATCGCTGCTGGCCGCTTCAACAACTTCCCCCTCGACATTGTCCCAGACATCTCCAGCATAGTTACAAAGATTCCACAGTTTGTTGCAAAACCTGCAACTAGCAATTTTTCTGAATTAAAAGCAGGATACGATATTAAACATGTAAAAAGAAACATGATCGAAACGATAAGTTCTAAGCTGTTGAAAATTTTAAGAAAAAATGCCAAGATATGGGAGCCCCTGGTTGACATTCCTTAACTAAAGAAAGACAAATTTTTAGATAAGCTAGCAAATGAACAGAAAAATTATAAAGTGATACCTACCTCAAACCTTCACTCGCTTCCTGAACAATATCAATATTGATATCCGTGGCCGAAGCATCATGTCGGAGCAAAGCAAAACGTAAAGCGTCTGGACCACATCGACGAATTCCCTCAGGAAAACGAGCCTTCAGCGAAATGGCTGCCTTCCCTGGAAGTTACCTTCAGAAATGGATCTTACTGTTTTCACTGCCACAACTAAAAGTGGCGTCAGATTCACTATAATCACTGCAGTGTTTTCAATAGCACAAGGCTGTCAGTAGGCATGCAAGTTAAGAGCGTCTAAAATCCTGAAATCCTCAGGATATACCGAAACATACTGAAGACAAAGTGGTCCTACAGGAAGGGCATGTCTCATGCGTAGCCTAGAATATGAGTTATAACTTGCTCATTCACACAGCAGGCGACCCAAACGGCCATTACTCCATGATTTCAGGCTCTGTAAGTAGAAACCAACAAAAATAAAACAGCAGTTAATCAAATTACAAGTATCAAATTTGCAAGAATTTGTTCACTTTTTTCCACTCCTTGGAAAGCGTTCTCATCGAGACGTTGCAGCATAGTCTGGGACGAAACGCCATCGATAATATCAAGCGGATCAATCACATTCCCCAACGACTTACTCATTTTCTTCCCCTCGTCATCGCGCACCAATCCATGCAACAGAACTTTGGTGAAAGGAAAAAAGCCCGTCAAGCTGAAAAGTCAGACGTTAAATAATGAACTGGACACGATTTATATGCTACATCTTAAATTACACAACTGTCCTCGCTAGCTATAAAAAGCCTTGAGGGAAAACCAAATATTTAGACACTTTTCTGGAAAAAACTCTGTCAATTTCAATAAAAAAACTAAACTAGAGAATACCTGTGGCAAACAGTTAGCATTCGCGCCACCCAGAAACCAGCAATATCAAATCCAGTTTCCAAGACGGATAATGGGACTCGGTTTATTCGTCTATCTGGCCAACCTGGAAATCCAAATCCCAAATTTACCTAAAGCTTGAATTGTCCGATCGAGCACAGTTCGTGTAGACCACGGCCTATCATTCTTACTCATGAAGTTGAATCCAGGAAAAGAAAGAAAAGTGAAGTTTCACAAGGTCGTATGTGAAATCGAAGTTTACGTGAAAGCTGAATTTGAATTTGCAAGGTCGTAGGATGGACGGTAGACACTGCCCTAAACTTTCAAAATCTTAGCTTCCGTTTTTCCCTAGATAGTTATTTTCTCCGCCAAAATTCTTTTGGGGGTCATATGTGGTACCTAGACGAACGAAAAAGCTGAAATTTAAATTCTGAGTGTCGCACATGAGTGGGGAAGGGGGGCATCGCTCTAAAATCTAGGGATTTCGTGGTTCCCGAGATAATAATTTCCCCCGCCAAAACTCTCAGGTAGTACGTGGTACTCGAGGGTAATCGAGGGACGAATTTATACATATGGGATCAAAAGTGGGCAGGGGACATCCTACTAAAATTTCAGCTTCCATGGTTCCCGCATAGAAAATGCGGAATAAAACGCTCGGACAGACATAAACACAGATATACACACATATACACAAACAAAGGCGTGACAGTTTGTTCTGTGCTGCTGTTACACAGTGAAAAAAGCATAAAACTGTACCAGCCAAGACGATAGGAATCAGTGCAGAGCAGAACCAGGTGTCCAGAACATCTTCATCCTGCTCCAAATCCACTGCATGCTCCAATTCACCCAAAGTGCGTGAAGCTTCAGCTTTACTGCGTGCTACAACCCAGTTACTAAAAATATAAAAGTTTCAAGATTAACAAAATCATTGATAACGCGCACCCGCCGGGTCCGTGTGATCATGCATTTTTGCAGTATTTTGTGCTGCGGTGGAATCGCTTGGAATCACAACAGTTAGAATTACTTGTCCTCGAACTTCAGAAAGGTAATTTGGTTACTAAATTAATGGAAATTTATAATGAACAATTAATGGGCAAATAAAAGAGTATACAAGTAAGCGACTAATGGACGCAGCATCTCTAATCTAGGATGCTGTCCGATACGAAACCACGATCCGCTCAAACAGATTCTCCACGAGAAAACAGCCTAACATACCTATCTGATGAATGTGGACGGAATGCAGGAATGCGTTGGCCCCAATCCAGTTGTCTGCTTATGCACCACGGCTCCTTCCGATTTAACCAGTTTTCCAAATGTATCTGCATTGATCTTGGCAATACCGTAATCTACAAGTATTTTTGATATAATTCCAGAATATAAGACATGGAAATGAAGATATCATTTCGAGAGAGGCCATGAAAAAACTATGGCCATATCGGACCCCTCTGCCTCAGGCCTCTCTGGATTGGTATGACTTAATTTGTTTATCGCACACAACCTATATTCGATTCCTTCGCGGCCTGGCACTGTAACGCCTGGCAAGCAGGGACATTCTAGCAGCATTACTAATATGAAATCTCCACACTGACTGTCCCGGCAATCTTGAATTTTTTACTGTACACGAACATCCTTTGCCATCTGCTAAAAACATACATTGCATGACTTTTTGAAACGGTAAAAGACACTTTCAAGAGTAAACTTACAGTGCCTTCTTCTAAAGCTGCAAGCGCAGTATCATTCATAGCCACGCAGTCCACAAACCATTGCTTTTTGAGAACTGGCTCGATAAGATCACCAGTTCGACCGCATATCTTTAACTGCTGCTCAGGAAACGGCATGGTACCACCATATTTCCCGTTATCACATAACCTCGAAATAATCTATAATTTCGGAACTTCATAAACATTGTGCATGTAATTTATAAAAAAAAAACCGAATTACCTTAATGCGTGCTTCAAAGCGATCTAATCCATTGAAATCCGACGCGTTCACAAGGCAACCCGAATCATTGATACAGCGACGACTGACATCTTCGTCGGATAGCAGCTGGCCGATATACTTTCGCGCAATAGCAAAATCGACGTGATCATGAGATGGTGTGATTTTCAGGACACCTTAATCCACAACAAATTCTTTCTCCGCAAACATGATCAGTGTCGAAATTTTGCAGAAAAGACAAAAAATTATCAAACAATGCAGAGGAATGTACAGAGAGATATTACTACTTTACCAATTTTACAAATATGCAAAACTGCGTAGTCTACAAATCAGTCTTTTTAGTTCGGTTACTTAGCTGGATCAGCTGCAATCATACCTTGTTCTGTAACTGTGCTGTTTGCAACTTTATCAACTGCTTTGACTGCAGCGCCTGGTCGTCAGACTGCTGATCATCCTGACGTTCTCCGTCCATCGAAGGAACTATCAAGTCCATAGTTCCCCAGACAGAAATATTTGGTAAAATTTTAGCTTTTTCGAGACGTTTTGCTGCGGGTAAAACATCTTCAGCTGTTCTAGTACACTAACAGTCCTAGGCCACGATGATGTACTTTGTATTGACTGGGGAGAGGGGAAAGCTGGGTACAGGGGGGGGG